CTCTCTCTCTCTCTCTCTCTCTCTCTCTCTCTCTCTCTCTCTCTCTCTCTCTCTCTCTCTCTCTCTCTCTCCTGCCCCCAACTGATCGAAAACCTCGTTCCTCATGCTAAGCAATGGAGCAGATACACTTTATACTCTAGCTGTGGCAACTGTCACTCTCACTCTGTCTCTCCTCTGTCTGCTGTCTCCCAGCATTTGCACTCGCGAGGCAGTTCGTGAGCTGGGGCACACCCAGACTTCGTAGGGTTGACTAGGCCTCGCCTGGCCTGGCCTTCCTCAGCTTGCCTCCTCGCATGGCTGAGGTTTCCCGATCTATACAACCATGGAGCAGTCTGCGTCTTGACCGAGCGAGCCTGAAAGCATCCGGAAACTGTTGCCGAGCCTTGGGTGGTTGACTTCTGAAAAATTTTGACTCTTCGACTTCTATTGTACTGGAATACGGTCCGACTCCTGAATTCCCTAGGCCTACTTAGACGCCTAGAGGCCCTGGTTCCCTCAATTTGACCCTTGATCCCAGGCCTACCGACCTAAGGACTTTCTGGAGCCTCTCTAGAGGCTCTGTAACCCGACTTTTAACCATCAAGCTTCAGTTTGCCCTAAAGGTGTACGACCCTAAAAACTTTCTCTGCTCCTTTTTGCCAGCGATTCCTTGCACTCCTGCAGTCCCGCTTTCCACTTCCATTTGCCGAAATTTCAATCTTCATCCGCTACGACTTCCCTAATCCCCGGAGTTTCCTTTCATAACAAGCAACTATATCGGCAGGAGTCTGCATCAATTCCTTTCCGCGAAACCATCTATCTTCCGGTGATGGTTGAGACCTTGGATCACAACGTATATTCCTGCTGAGGTCTACCTCTTCCTCAGTGGATAAGTAGTCATGTGCTTCAATAAACTCGAGCTCGTAGTCCATACCATCCATTCAGAGAAGGTGGAAAATTAGGTTATCAGCTAGGGAATTCATCTCCTTCTACGTAGGGTACGAGATTAGATGCAAGAAAGACTAGATACGTTACGAGATGGGGCGGAATATCTACTACATAAGTTGGTCTATCCTAATCTCCTATGTTTCAGAAGTTCCCTACGACAAAGGTAGACACTGGACAGGCAATAACTTAATGAGAGATTCCTTTCTCAAGAAAGAAAATCATTAGGCTTAACCGACAATGGATCGGCGGAATCGCCCTATTTGAATACTGAAGGGTCTTCTGTGTTTGTTTGCTTGCTCAATCATCTTCTGCTGAGTTCTTTGTGTGTTCTCCTTTACCTGTTTGATATCCTCTTAAAAGTACTTCAAATTTTGTGGTTTTGGGTGTAACCTCTAAATTTGGTGATCCCCTGTTAAAAGTACTTCAAATTTTGTGGTTTTGGGTGTAACACTGTAACCTCTAAATTTGGTGATCCCCTGTTAACCCAACAGAGCCTTTCCACGCCATTTTGTTCCAACGCGGCGATTAACGGGCCGTATCCTTCGGCGCTCGGCCTACCGAACAAAATGGCTTGAAACTGTTTCACTCAGTTGACCCGACTTTGCAGACACAGAGATTCGACCCCAGACCTGTGCCCTAACCCTGTACATTGAACCTGTGTGCTGAGTGAGATTCGATCCCTAGACCTGTCCTATTCCTGTACATAGACCCAGTGACCTGAGTAGGATTCGACCCCTAGACCTGCCCTACGTCCTAGGCTAGTCTGTAGGTTGAACAGTAGGACTTGATCCCTAGGTCTGTAGATTAGGAGTTAGGACTGCTACCGTTAGGCTTAGGAAGGCCTGTTCTAGAAATCTCTATCTGAGTCTACTGAGGCCTAGAGTCTGTCTGTAAGTCTGTAGGCTCTAGAAGGTCGTAGGTCCCTGTAGGCCAGTCCAGTCAGCAAGTACCAGGGGTAGGGGCTGCACGTGGGGAAGGTTCTGGAGCACACTGTGGGTTTCACACGTTTTGGCCCAGAAGGCCGAACGTCTGGAAACTTCCTTGGGCCACACTTTTTGGCCCAGGCCCACACGTTTTGAGGCAGGCCCAGGTACCTCCAAAGAAGTATAAATAAAGAGGCAGCGTCCAGCCATTCATTTCATTCGCCTGTGAGCCATGCGGAGGAGCTGCCTTGGTTTGTGCATGGAGGTTGGCAGGTTCCCGGAGAGGAAGTGGGCTGTGAAGAAGACAGCGGCCATAGCGAACCAGCGAGGGAGACACCGGCGGCCATAGCTAGAAGGAGGAACGACGGCGGCCATAGCCGCCCAGCTGTTGGTGTAGACAGAGTGTGCAGAGTGTGAGTGGCTGTGCAGCGTGGACATTCAGGGTGATCCTCGTACGTGTGTGCATGCGAGAGTGTGGGAAGTGAGGCTGGTGGTAGAGCCGGTGTTCGGCGGCCATAGCCGCAAGTTGTACAGCTGATTCAGATTGAGTTTAATACAAGTTTATTGTTGTTTCTGAGTTGGAAGAGTTCGATTTTGCCATCGGTTCTCGAGTGTGAAAGCAAGTCCAGAGTCGAGTCTGATTGCAGGCTGGTGACATCAGGTTAAAAACAAAAAATGCACATGTGCCTGTTTGTCTTTTATTGACCCGCACACCCGCAGCACAAATCCGCATCGCAAAAAAGAGACTTGGAGGTACTAGTGGTTAACGGACTCGATAGATCTTCGAGGTTGCCAGCCTTTATGAAATGCGTTAGGTGTTTGCCCTGCAACAAAAAACTGTTATATGTTATGCACTTGCGATCTTTAGAAGATGTCTCATCCTAGTCAATCAGGTCTCTTGTGCATTTGTAGAAGTCTATTGATAACACCAGTTCATCTGATGGGTCTGACCGTCCGTTTCAGGATGCCTTCCTGGAGGACATGGTGCGGCCATCAACTTCTACCAATCTTGTCTTGTAAATCTAACACCTCTATTATGAGACAATCACATCCTTCGAGCACACGAGTCACAAAGCAATCAGACCAGATTGCTGCTAGCCATACAGGAAGACTTTTGGCTTACTTTCCTGAAGAAACCGAAGGCATTCTCGTCATGACAGTTCGCTCCGAAAACGTAAGAAAGAGGCCTTCCTGGAGGCATTCTCATCATGACTTTTGGCTTTTTTTCGTGCTCTACCAACCGAGCTAGGTTGTCTTCTTCTATTTTCTCTCTCAATTCTTTCTCCTTTGCTCCTGAATTTCTAAATCTCTTCCGAACTGCTCAGCGTTTTTTACGTGTGCGGCTTCTATAAAACTGCTTCAGCGTTTTATACCTTCATCGATCTCTTCCATTTCAGTTTCTTTCCTTATTTGCTTCGGTCGAGATTCCAGAGCTTCCTTCCTTTCCTCTTCTCCTGGTTCTTTTTCTCTTTTTCATCCCCCTCCCCAATCCTCTTAGAGAGTTGTCTTGTCGTACCTCTGAGAGGTGCTACCTAAACCACCCGTACATTTCCCAGCCATTTTCTACAACACGGTTGCATGCACGCCACTTCTGGCGGGATGTACCGACCTGCCACTTCGCAAAAAGTACGTCCAGGCAAAACGGGTCGTGCATGCGATGCGATTTGCCTGGAGGTATATTTTGCAAATCGGCATGCCGGTTCATCCCGCCAGACATGGTGTGCATGCAGACGCATTGTAAAAAAATGCCTCTGGCAAACGTACTGGTGCTTTTAAGGAGGCTGTCTCATACCAACTTCCGCATTCGGGTATAAATGTTGATCGGCTCGAATGAAAGCATCTTCTTCCACAATTGCTTGGAAAGCATCTTCTTCCACAATTGCTTGGACAGCATCTCCAACACCTTCTCATTGCCTACCCAACCTTGCTGCCTCTTTTATATCGCATTGTTCTCCCTCTGCAACGATCGCACTTCCTGTGACCCACCTTTGTGGTGCACCCGCACAGACATAAAATGGAATC